GCTTTGACCGTGTCGACATTCATCTTGGATTACGTCTGTCAGGTCCGCTGTTATTATGGTAAGTGCATTCCTAGCTACTTGTTGGCAACGATTGACGGTTCTTCTCCGGGTACACGTCGAGATTATCTATAGAATTATGCAGCGTCTGTTCTCGCGGCAGCCGGGAGAGCAATTGTTCCGAAAGTATTCCATTATAGTCTAGAATTACTTCAGTTCTTGTTTGCTTTGCAATCTTCTAAGTTGTATAAAAAAGCTTGGAGTGCCTCTTCACATTTCACAGATCGCTTTCACGTTTGTACTTGTCTACGGAATAGGCTGTAATAAACTTTTCTGAGAATTTAAATCATTTTTTGTGTCTGTATTTCTGCCCACTTGCAAGCACCTGCGCGAGCACATTTTTTCTACGTGTTTCCTCCGTTATAAATAGCTTATGAGTTTCGGGATGTCTTAAATAAGTTTAAGATAACCAACCTGCCGGACGATACCCATATAGGGCTAGCAAATAATTTGCCTATTCGAATGGCGCATTCAAATGTGTGGTCGCGTGGCTGGTCGAACGGGCACCCGTATCGAACGAGCACCCGTTTCAAACGGGCACCCGTATCAAACGGGTAACCGTATCACGTTTGATCCAAACAGATCGACAAGTTTGACACCCGTTTGAATTTCAAATGTTTTTTTTTTTTTTTTTTTAGTAGGGACGTTTTCGCATATTATGCTTTGTTTCGCACAAAGTTCATAAGCTTGCAATGCTTTCGCGGCTGCGGACGCAAGGATGTAGATGTATCTATACCCTGATTCAAAATAAGTGAAAGCGAAGCCAGTGTGACAAGCGCGAGTATGCTGTCTCTCCTGACATCAAAAATAAGTAGTGAATAATCTGAAATCGTGGAGAATATAATTGCAATTTGGCGGTTTCATATGAAACAAAAAACGATTTGCTATTCCTGTGAAGCCGAAGTGGCGGACAGGAAACCCCCGAGACACTGACCGATAATGCAAAGCGGTAGGGACGATTGGAACGATTATCTAAAGCACCTTTATGATCCACGGTTGTACGAACAGATCTAGAGCGGCTTCAGGGCTGTCGGATGCGACTGCGGGCTCTAAATGAGATCATTGCCTTATATGACGAAAAAGTCCACACGACCGGCACCGCGCTGCTCCAACTGACCGAAACGTCGAGACTCTTGGGAACGTCCAGAGGGCGCCTCGTCGCAAACCGGAAGTTAGAGGTGGGTTAAGGAGGGTTCTTTGAGGGAGGAGGGAAGAGAATACGCAACTTTTCCCAGACACAAGGGCTTTTATCTGTTCAAGTCATGTCGAGTCACGCAAGGGCCGGTGGCGCCATCGCCTGCCATTTCACAGTAGCAATATAAATAAACATTCATGTTTGACTAGTCGCTAAAGGGTGGCGCTGTTATCGTATTCAGTTTGGTTTCGGTGGACTTGGGTGGTCCAGGTTTGAAGGGTGATACCCCCAACTAAGTGTTTTAGTAAAGTTGTTTCCAGCACGCCGTGGAAGCCAGCGCCAACGTTACTAGGTTACCTCAGTTGTGGAACTCACGCGGAAGTGGGTGGCTTTCCTCAGTCACTTCAGTCCACCTGCCGGCGTTTGAAGCGCCATCTAGATTTTCGCTTCATAACTGAGTTTTGCATAGAGCAGAGTTGGAACGCAATCTAGACGCTGTGCTGCGAAACGTACGTATTCCATAAAATACGCTGCAGTTACCACAGTGGCCGTCCGGCGCGTCCAACGATGAGAGGGGAGTCGTGGTGAGTGAGTGGGGGTATAATGCCTGTGCAAGCAGCATCTATGAGCAGTTTTGTAAGTGAGCCAATATACTAACGTTAGCCAGACCTGCCATGAGCGCGGCCATCGTTTATGCATTGGCCATGCGTCTTTTAACCGCTGTCCTCGCGTCCTTCCCCTTTGCACTATTATGAAACGTGCTTTGGAAGCGTTTACATTTTCTTTCTGGTTTAACGCTGAGGAAAATAACTACGTAGCACGTGATGAAAACGTTTCCAAAGGCAAAAGGTTAATTCCTTTTTCTGTTTTTTTTTTATTTTTTTAAATATGTTTCCTTCTCTCACAAGGAACGATGCGGTTGCAACGGAGCCAGCATGCTCAAAGTGGGATTGTCTATACAGGGAAGCGAGAACATTGCTGCGGGGAGGCTATGGGGACTGCCAGCACTGTGGCGAATAATTACTGTATGTACCGTTACTTCTTAGTAAGAGGTAAATTCCTCGTAATGTTTAGCAACAATATTGCAGAACAATACTTGTGCGAAAGCAGCACAATATTTGTGACATCGTTCACGGTCGAGATGGTCCCTGACAAAACAACTTCTTTCAAATTATCCGAATAAAAGGCGCGTAGATAGCCTTTAGGGGATGCGATTGGATAAGCGGGACAGTAATGAAGAAAAAATATTGCATTTGCGCCGCGTGTGCGTTATGCGTGTGTCTCATCTGCGTTCTAATTGTTTGTCTATGTTAAATGCATATTACGTGTACAAATATGGAATAAGCGCTCTTTAGATGTGAATGAAATTAGCGTGAAAACGATCCATCCCAGTGATAGTTATGTTTTATCAATTTTAAATTTGCCGTGGGCTAGTGCCACCTGGGTCTGTAAGGGCGCAATTCAGGAATGAATAAGGTAAGGGCGCAACATTTTGTTCCCGTGGCTTAAATGCAAAAGTGCAAAAGTCCCGGTGACTCAACTTCGAGGGACAAACGGGAGGGGCGAAAATATTGCTTCCCTTTCCTTTAGTCCCCAAGGAACTAATGGCGGCGTCAGCGCATTTGGTCCCCGGAAGGACTAAATACAGCTCCCTTTTTTCTTAGTATGTAGTCGTAGCAAACATGGCGGTCAGCTTTTCCTATGTTCCCAATAAATTGCTCATCTAAATGAAAAGAAGCGAGCTTACCCAAAAATCGGATATTGCATTCTTACGGCTTCTTATAAGAACGTTTAATTCTTATGGCTATTGTAGCTCTGTCAACCTGATTTGTGAAAAACAACCCTTTGTACGTACTGGCGCAATGTTATTCGTAAAGGACTTTAGGAAATATAATATAAGGTGTCCGCCCGAAAAATGTACGTATTTTGTCTTCACCACAAAAATAAACCAAGCATCCCCAAATGATTATCCGCCGAATTGTAGCGCTAGCGTTCCGGACCGTACGCCAAAGTTTCAGATCTAACCGTTACCTCATTCAAAATTTATATTTAGTTTGCTGAAAATTTTAATGGGAAAATTGCGCACTCAAATGCATGGAGCTGAATGGCGCCCGTTAGTGAAAACGGGCGAAACCGTAGGTAAATATTTTCCCATTTAAATTTTCAGATAATCATATAACTTTTCAATGAGAAAAGAGTTGGTTCTGAAATATTAGGAAGTTTCAAGGAACCGTTCTTACACATCTCATACGGGACGATAGGTACTCCGGTACGAACTGCCCATATGTGCGACTAGTGCGGTACCGCATGTTCAGTTCGTACAGGAGTGCCATCGCAACATATCGGAAGTGTAAAAAAGGTTCCCTTAAACTCCCTATTGGCATATGGTTCGAACCACTAAAGCTACATTTGGGTGGAGGATGAGAGTTTGGAGATGCGTATGGCTTATTTTGTAATAAAAAAGAACATAAAAAAAAAACTGTGTTCGTTTTTTGCGGACTCGTTTTACAAACTGGCAAAGCATTTACTATTCCCGGTTAATTTGAACGTATCGTAGCAGAGGGCGCGCAAGCTGCCTTTTGGATCGAGAATATGTGTCAACTCCGAAATCTTTTTTATTGCCTTTTTAAAATCACAATAGACAATACTGAAGATGGCAGTTTTGTACAATTCAAAAGTTGAGACAAGTGCAATGTTCTGACTTAAATATTTCACGTTAAACCAAAGATTGAGAATGCCACGGCGCCTATATTAAGCGTACACTTTATAGTGACTGAGAACTTAAGAAACTTCGGGCGTGGCTCACTGTGTTCACGCTTTGTGCTTCGTGATTTGCTGTTTTTCCTCGCTATCGGCTGATGCTGCAACCTCATTGGCGTCTAAGCGATAATAAGATGCCAGGCACTTTTCACATCTTGCGTTTTTTAAAGTGTCAGTGAGTATAAGTACCACTGGAGCTTTTGTACACACGAATCAAAAGTTCACACACCAATAAATGTTTCGCCCTTTTGCAAGCAGAATTAAATATGTATGTTAAAGCAAGTAGGGAGGTGAGCTGGTATTGAAAAGCATGTTAACTATGGAGCAAGGAGACAAAAAGGGATGGACATACACGAAGCTCCGAAGACACGAAGCTCCGGAGCTTTGTGTCTGTCCGTCACTTTTTGCACCCTCACTCCAGGGTTAAAAATACTAAAGAGTTAGACAAAGAGGACGGACAGGACAGACATCTTTTGAGTTTCAGCTCAATTCAACCATGCCCTTTCCTAATATGACATTTATCCTTTAGCTCGTTTGCGCAAAAATATAGTACATATATGTCTCAGATTTATTTGATCGTTGCCTGCAGAAATGTTTCATAGTTTTACTTATAGTAATACACAACGCAAGCATCATTTTTGATTCTCCCGAAACGCCCACTATCAGTTTGGTGCTATGCACATTCCTCAAAAATTAAGAACCTAAACGAATTAACAATTGCGGTATAGGTCTCCCTGCAAGTAGTTTTCCTAAAATTGCTTATTAAATATTGAATGATCCATCATTCATAGTGTTATGCTCGCAATTTTTCGTTCTTACTAATTCAACACCAGCATAACTTTTGAATTTGATTGCTTTGGGTACGAAACATGTGTATATTTATTTATAACAATGTCATATCATTTTCGCTCCTTCGGGTAATCAGAATCATATTAAATTAAATGATTTACTTTACATCGTGGTATCTAATGATTCAATGTAATTTTTCAGAGAAGTGGACTTTATTTATATTTTCTTTTTAGCAGAAATATATCGGAAGCTGAACTACCTCTGATGCATCCTCGAGAGTTCCCTCCTGCACTGGCCTGACTGCAGTTGCTGTGGTGGCCAGACAGAAATCGATGCAACTTAACAGAAGTGGGCACGCTCCACACTGCAGACACACGGGCATCGTTCTTGTTTTCACTGCGAGGCTTGGTTGTTCGAGCGTCTCGAATCTTTACGACACAATTCAACGTAAAAAATTAATCTACGGTTCTTGCTGGGTTATTGGTATACAGTCATCACTTTTAGTATTTATAGCCTAATTTATAAATACATAGCTGGCACTTCCGATGTTAGGAAAGTACTATTTAGCACGAAGAGCTACTGCCTTTTCTTATTAAACAATAAAAAATGGCCTCTTTAATCGAAATAAATTATCTCCCAGAAACTCTGATAAAGCACTGGTAACTTTGCCAATTTGGCTTTAGAAACGTGCATTTTCTAAATAATCGTAATGTTTTTTTTGTTTTTTTTTTATAGAAGTATTTAAAAAAAATTTTGATTTCTAAATATTTAGAGCCGTATTTGCCCGAGTAATAGCCGCGCTATTTTTAACCGAAACCTGTGTGTCTGCTTTCCCGCGTAGCATGGGGATAGCGAATCACCTCGATCGGCAGAAAAATAGGGAATTGTAGTAGATCGTTCCCGCAGCCCGCTAAGCACACGGATAGCGCTCCATAATACGCCACGAGACCTTGAACTATGCAGACAAGGCTGGCGGCGCGCATGCGCAGCTGTGGTGTTTTCTTCGGGGATACCGTGGCGGAGGAGAAAAACTATCTACTACAACTCCATAATGGTAGCAATTTACGAGACAGAGATAACGTTTTTCACGCGAAAATGCTATCTGCTCAGATTGCATTTTTAAGGAGAATCGCGTTCTCGACCCTGTTATTCCTTACGTTTTTTTTTTCTTCTTCTTTGTGCAGAACGCGATGGTTGGCTGTATCTATGTTCTGCAAGAAAGTAGACGCATGGGCCTTGTTCGTAAGCAATGCAGCTATTACTTGAGCGTACACGGAATTTAGAAAACCCAACATGAGACCGCATTGTGCAGTATAAAAACATACAATAATCTAATGAAAATAAAAATGAATATCATAATATTATTTCAACGCAATCATCAAATGTGTTCTTGTTTACATTCTTGACTTTGCAATACAATTTAAAATTAATTTCAAATGCGCTAATACTTCTATAATATATAATTCTCCAAATGCAGCGAAAGGTAGTGCTCAACCTTGCTAAAGTAACTACGTATATGATTCGCTTGATAAGCGTATACAGTTGCCGTGACGTATACATATAGAATATACAGTTACTCTAGTCTAGAGTAACAACATGACTCCGTCATTTGGTAAATCTAGTAATCGCTAGTCACTGCATCTACGCAGGGACACGAGTTCAACTGGTCCATATCGTTTCGTCAAGAACTGTCCGGTCTAGATATGCGCAATATTTTCCTTTCTTTTTATCACATTGCTGTTGCGTGTTTTTTTATATTTTATTATTGCAGCATTATACTTGAACTCTGAATGCGCCTTCTACTACTGCATTGTGTGGTAAATCTTCAATGAATTTTTATATTAATTTTTATGCTGTCATCATCTATGACTGTCGCTAGAGTTTCATTATTTGAAGAGTAATGTCGTCTTTCTGTATAATTTTTTTATTGTTACACATTCTTGAAAGTTGTTTTAAGTGTAAGTTACTCAACATGACCAATAGACGTTTACAATAAAGGCTCCAGGGAGATTTCACCTCTGACAATGCTGGCGCCGCCGCGCGTGCTTCGTGTTTTCGGCATGCTATGGTGGTGAGATTTACCAGTCGCCCAGCAAGGCCAACGCGCAGCTGCCTATGACATTAATTTCTTTAAAAAAAATTAGCTTTTAGTAATCAAATTTTACCTTCAGTCGTCTTTTTTTTTTTTTTTTACTACAACTTTTGTTTTTTTAGCATGGTTGCGACCGCAGTCAGTGCCTGAATAGTTTTAATAAGCCTTGTTTTTCATCGCGAGTCAAGAAGCCCTTGCGTCTAGTTTTGCTCCAATTTCGAAATGGAACACTCACACGCATAAAATTAGCACCGTTTCGCACACTTTCGGTCGGTTGAGACTTTTAGGTCAAGTTTGTTAGCAATGGCTGTGTCATTTGTGACTGCAACGAACCCTTTTTGTGCAATACGCTATGACGAGTGCATGAGACTCCCAACAGAAATGGTGATCGGTACCGCGACAACTGCTGCTCCGCCGCCGTTATCTGTTTTCGCCCTGCCTCCAAACCGGGGGGGGGGGGGGGTTGAAATTTTTAGGCATAGCGGTAAAAGAACAGGCGACGTCTGATGGACAAAAGCTCTAGGAGTTTCCATTCTCCAGATATAAAACTTGCCAAACTAAACTCAGGAACAAAAAAAAAAAGAAAAATACGCGATACGTTGTTCTGGGCCGACGTTGAATTAAATACTACGCCACCTTGCTGCCAGTACAAATCTCACCACATTCTTCAACTGCAATGATGGAAGCAATGTCACTACTGCCGAGAGACAGCAACAAAGTGATATGCTTTCGAGATTACACGGACCATATCAACATTCAGGAATGCTAGTCTTAACGCGTTCTATGTATTGTTCGCACCCCGCGCAAGTTCGCGTTCCACACACAAACACACACACACACAAACAGACAAACTAAAGGCTACATATCACCAATAACTTGAACATGAGCAAATATATGTACGCAAGATAAGAAACGTGCGACGTTCGAATCCGTAAACGCTCGAAAAGCACCAGCGTAGGTGAGGTAAATAAACAGGGAGCATAGACGTTTCTGCCGTCTTGAATCCGCACTATGACCTGCCGCTCGGGCGGATTGGTATTTTTCTTGAGTGTCCTGGTTTACCCTCCCGACAGGTGACAGCCAACAATAACGCTACACATAAAAAATGAATTGGCAGAGTGGAGACCGCGGAGACCACGCCAACGCCAGCCCACGGCGCCATGTTTGTGGGAGGATTGCACAATCGCATGCAATCACGAGCGGCATGCCATGTGCGTAGACAGGAAGCGGACTTCCTAGTCGGAGGGAGCGGAAACCTCAGTGTGGCTATGCCGCGTGGTCCGGGGCTATGGCGGAGCCGCACTTGCGAAGCTCTGAAAGTTAAGCAGAATTTACAAAAAAAAAAAAAAGTTTTTTATGATGTTGGTGTTTGAGCCTTTAAGGAATATTACTTACTATTTCCCCTGCATTATTGGAAGTACCATCGGGTTCAAGTGAAATGAGAACGTTGGAGCGACTGGTAGTCAGCACACGCTGCGCCTCCTGGAAGCCTCTCGACAATGATCAAACTGAGCTGTAGAGAGTAGGGAGCGGCGAGGGTGTGCGTCATACTCCAATGTGCATGAACCTAGACTGGCACAGGCCAAGCTTCGACGCTGCGCCGGTGGTACGCTGAAAGTTCCGTCACTGTTCGCATTTCATTCGAACCCTATAGTACAGGGAGTTGCAAAAATATATTTACAGGTTTTTTCTCACCGCAAAAATAAACTATGCATGACCGAACACTCAATCAACGCCGGAAGGTAGCGCTAGAGGTCCGAACCAGATCCTAAAGTTACAGCACGAACCCATATTTTATTTAACAGTCATAAGTGATTTTCTGGAAATTCCAATGGGAAAATGGGGCTCATTTTCTCCCGTCTTCTGTTTCTGGCGTATAGAGCACCATGTAATCGAGAGTCTGTCGTCCACCATTTTCCCATTGAGATTTTCATAAAACCATTTATAATTTTTGAATAAAATATCGGTTCGCACTGAAACTTTTGCATCTGGTTCGGACCTCCAGCCTTCGGGCGGAGAATGAGCGGTGATACGATGAGTATTCGCAACTCCAACGCCCAACAGGTGGCGGGCCGGTTGTTCCAAGATGGCGGAAGAGATGGGGATAGATTCTCCAGGATTTCTCGTGCGCCTGCTCACTGACGGCGGTCAGCGTGCTAAAAAGAATGTCTTTATCTACAAATGCAAAGCGGTTAGGGAGGGATTATATTACAGGTGACGGAGATGTTGATGCAAGTTAGAAATACGAGCATGCTGTTATTTAGAAAGTTGCAGAAACCTCAACTTGCGAAGCTTTGTGGCGGGCGAGCGCGTTTTAGGCACCGGCCACGTCCCTGTTTGTGGTAGAATATGTTTGAGGGTGATGAAGATATCGTGTTTGCGCTTTGCCTGGCTATTAGTGCTCTGAAAAGTGGGCCGCGAACGATGACCGCTAAGCTTCGGAAGGCCAGCGTTCACAGTAGCGGCGTCTTCGTGTCACAGGCTCACAACTCGCTGCTCACCGTCTTTGTTTTGGTGTATTGCAACACGTGACCAAACTACTCTATGGTTATTGACAGAAAGTTTGCTACCGCAGGCTACCGTGCGGTGTAGCATTACAACCGGAAGCTGGCGCTGCGCCTTTGAAGCACAATTTTCAGCGCGGGCCAGGAACGTTGCCGTGCTTTTCTCTCTAAAAAACAAAAAAACGGTTGTAATCCTTGCGCTCCTTGTCACATATACGACACTACAAAACTTCAGTTCGCCGTGCAGCGCACTGACGCCAAACCGACGGCCCCAACTTTTATGAGAGGCTTGATGACGGTGCGGTATAAGATATTAAAGAGTTAAGGAACGCATCACAGAGTACATAAAAAAACAACCACCGAGGTTTTGAAGCAGGGCCAAGAAAACCCCGATTACATTTTTTAGAGCGCAGCTCTTAGGGGCCCGTTCCCGGCTTGAGCGGCGTCGGCGTCGGCGTCGGCGTAACCGCAACTCTCGTAACCCTCGTGAGGGTTACGAGGGTTAATCTCATGAGGGTTACCCTCACGAGGATCATGAGGGCCACGAGGGTTACTTACCCTCGTAACCCTCACGAGGGTTAGTTACCCTCAAAAGGGTTACCTTCACGAGGGTTACCCTCACGAGGGTTACTTACCCTCGTAACCCTCACGAGGGTTACGAGGGTTAGTTACCGTCAAAAGGGTTACCTTCACGAGGGTTACCATCCACGAGGGTTACTTACCCTCGTAACCCTCACGAGGGTTACGAGGGTTAGTTACCCTCAAAAGGGTTACCTTCACGAGGGT